GAAGATCTCTTGTTGAGCACTACAGACCATAATCATCCACTATATGTGATGGTTATGATATAAGGTAAGCCTTTGAACAATATCCTTATTGATCACACTACATTTATAAATATTATCGACATCAGTACCCTTGAGTTTCTCTCTTTGAGTTCAAAAAGATTGTGTTCGGATAAGATTATGTTGAATGGCTTCAACGAGAAGGGACAAAAGACCTTATGGTCCATCACCCTTCCTCTCTAATTCGGAGAATGTAGAAGTGAAGCCAAATTTTCATGTGATAAATGGGAACACATCCTTCATAGCTTTTCTTGGAGGCCCTTGGATTCACAATAATGAGATTATACCTTTGACCTTACACTAGTTCATTAAGTACATGAGTGGAGGACATGAGTTCTCCATCTCAGGTGATGTCCAACCTCTCTCTCTTAATGAATAAGGTGTGCATGATTACGTCGAGTATTATATCCTTCTTAAGAGAGCATCTTCACTAACCTCAAGTATTACGGGACATCCACAAGCTCCTCCCCCGTTTTGACCGTCCCTTGCCTAAAGGTAAGAAGATGTTAAGGCATGAGGAAAGGTCTCATGCCCCAGAAATACACAGACAGAAATAAGTTATTCCCACTCTCATGTTCTCCAAAATTAAAATAGAAGTAGTGTTGAATATAGATTCAGAAACAGATGAAAATTTGCAGGTTGATAACTCATGGAGCTACATGGAAATGATCGAGAAGATACCAACGAGGAGATAGGAGTTACTTCTGCTACCATCAACAATCATGGCTCCTCATTCCTCTGAGCATTTTTTGGTGGATGAGGTGCTGACAATCGATTTAGTATTGCAGGGCCATTACAAACATTTGGCATCTACGAGTGCATAAACTGCAGATGAATTATGTATCCTTAATGTACTTCTCAAATTTAAATATGCAAAAAAGGGTATATTGTTTTACAAGGTTGATACTCAAATGGTCAATGCCAATGTAATACTTTTGGAAGATGAAAATTGAAAAATAGATGTTATCCCTCTTTCTTATTATTATTGCCTCTTGCTAATAAGCTTATGAATGATGGTTTGTTGCCGAAAAGTGGTTTTTTCACCAAGCCAAATTATGGAAGGCAATGTGGCAGAAGAGACCCTCTGGAGAACAGTCTGGAATAGGGTATATCAAAAATCCAGATAAAATTAAAATCCTCAATGCTTCGTGTAGAATGATTTTTGCATTTGATGACAATGAGATCCTTGTCTCTGATAATGAGGAGGTTGAAGTCAGAGGCACAGCTCCCGAATTGGAGGATGGTGTTTCTTCAACCGTCAATAAGTTGATCGAATTCAACTTGGGAACAAAGAAGCAAGCAAAGATGGTTGCCGTCAATAAGTTGAAGCTGAAGTTCTCAAACTGTTGGAGTCGATGTTGGTTGCTTAAGCATAAAACCATGCCCGAGGGAAAAGTTGGTGTTGATTAAGACATCAAAAGAATTTTTTTAAGCTCCCTTCCCATCCTCAGTAGGTGAAGACTCTCACCGTTCAGCTCAAAGTCGGAGTGTCCTTAGCTATAAGCAGGTTGATAAAGGCGAAGCTAGTCTCTCCCAAGTGGGTCAATTTGAATAGATTTGCTATATTATTCTAGTCTTGGAGGAGGAGGATGAGGAGGAGGAGGATGAGGAAGAGGAGGACCACAATGAATATACTATATTATTCTAGTCTTGGAGGAGGAGGATGAGGAAGAGGAGGACAACAATGAATATGACAGTGGGTCCTTGAATATTTGACTCATCTTAGGTTTACACATGACTTGGAGAAATTTTCCTTTTTCTTTTTGAATGATTGTGAAGAAAAGAATAGAAAATTCATTGAAAAAAAATTCTTTGTTAGTTTTTCATCATAAAATAAAATGATGCTTTAGATCAGTTATCACCTTCATTTCTTGTGTTTTTATCTTTATAGCATTTATTATTTTCCTTAGATAATTGATGACTTGGCATTTTTAAGAATGCCTTCGCTTGGTCTTGTTGAGTTAGTTCCCAACTCAAGATTTACACTTACCATTCCTCGATCCCTCGATTAGATCGTCATCTTGGACGGGCCGCACCTTAGACCAGGCATATTAAGTGAAACATTGACGACCTTCATGGGGCTAACCATTGAGATTTGGTGTTGGGTTAATTTATACACTATCCACCACATATTTTATCACTAATCAATAGGGAATGACCACCAGAGCTTGACCCATTTTGAGGTAGAAGACATAGGTTTTTATTGATGCTTGTGCATTGTGGGGTCAGTCCTTCAATAAATTTTTGATCAGACATTAATCCTCACTATCGGTCAAATTTAGAAGATTTTTATTGATCAAATATTTATTCACCGCTGCCGATTTTAGAAAGTCTTTACCTACAGGACAATATGTGTCATTTTCAGTTTTGAAAAATCATTATCAAGCGTATGCCATGCTTCATTTTTAATTTTGTCGCTCGGGTGAAACCAACGTTGGTTGGTTGATTTGAATTTCCCGAGTGTCGATCAATTCAATGATCCTTTGAATGAACTTCCCAAATTTTTTTAGTAGTAAACAGATCTACGAATATATGTATAATTAAAAAATTGTTGAAACATTTTATGAACTTGACAAAAAAAATACAAAAATTGAAACGAGAATGCATTCTCATTGTCAAGCTAGGGGCTGGTCAGTATATTAGGTCTGACTCCCTCGATGGTATGCTCTGTCGATCACTTGGTAATTTGAGTTCCTTCATGAGCCTTTCGATGAGGATTGTGTCTCAGCTCCCAACTTTTTCCATGATCAATTTTCTTTGGTGGATGGTGGTTTACTTGCTCATTTCTGAATAATTACTAATATCTATTGACTAGATCCAACAACTCAACGAGCATCTTTGATCGCTAGCGCATATCAAAATGGTCCTTTCTTCAGCCCTTAAGCTAGGGAGAAATGAGCTACTGTGGATTCCACATCCCGCAATTCCAACATCTCATTATGAAAAGCGGGGTAATGAACGAGTGAAGACTCTCATCCTACCATTGGTAGTTATGCAGAAGGGCCTGCAAATTCTTTTGTAGCTTCTAGGCGTGACAAACTATGCCACAAATATTTCTTGAGGTTAACAAACGACGCGATCAGTCATGGTGATAATGTGTTGAATCACCTGAGGGTCGACTTTGTTAGCGCGGTGAAGAAGAGACGTCATTTCAACTTGTTGGCGATTCTCAGCAGACACTCAATTGACTTAAACGAGGCTATGTGGTCGGTTAGATCGATCCTGCCATTATAGAACTTCAATGTCAAGATCTTGAACCTTTCTAAGGGGGTGGGCCTCATAGATTTGCCAAGAAAATGCATTCTCAAGCTGTTGGGGTGCTTACTCTTGAATCAATGTCTTATAGAACTTCAATGTCAAGATCTTGAACCTTTCTGTAGGGGTGGGCCTCAGAGATTTGCCAAGAAAATGCATTCTCAAGTTGTTGGGGTGCTTACTCTTGAATCGATGTTTGTCGATTGGCGCCAACCTGACACTATCAAGGTACTGGGAGTCTTCTTCTTTTTCCAGAGCAAAGGGACTTTTCGACCTTTGGGTGTCATCCCTTTCTCTTGAGGATACAACTTTCTTCCCCGACTAAGTGCTTCTCGAATAGCATCCAACAATTGATCCTTCAGCTTCTGGATATGCTGGTTCATAAACTCTCTTGTGTAGTCTATGTTATTAGTGTCTTTTTTATGAGTTTCTTCTTTGTTCATTTCTTCTCTTCTTATCTGTGGCAGGATGCACACTCACCACACCTTTTATGATGTCCTAATTTGTCCACGAATCACACCTAAAGAATAAATGTAAGAAAGGAGTGAGAGGGGGAGAGAAAGATGAGTGAACATTGATGAACAATAATACTTGTTGTCAATCTTCTAATAAAGTGATCTCCTTTTTTATTGGGGAGAGGGTACAACATAGTGATATTATATTTTCGCCACTTGTTTGATGGTATTGTACATGATATTATAGGTATTTTATATAAACGAGTTTATCACTCAATTGCTCTCTAGCTTGGTTGATTGAGCTTTTTTTCCCTCAGCTTGATGAGGCCGCTATAGTCGATTAGGATGAGCTGTGTTGTCTATCGACTAAGCTTGATTGACTTCAAGTCGGCAAGACTGATTCAATTAGCTAAACTTTGCCAACTGGTTAATCTAGTCTAGTTGTTGACCTCGATCCCTGAGCTAATAGTCTCTATTGGTGGAGCTAGACAAGACATCAGACAGAAGGTGAATCATCGTAACCCGATAGGTAGCTCGTTCTTCTACAAGAAATACTTATGAGATGAATATAAAACTCTGTTGTATTGTCAATTCTGGGCAACTGATGGGGAGTCTCAAGGACGTTTATGGGATGACTGATGATATTGGGAAACTGGGTTTTTCCTCAGGTCACTACAAGAAATACTTATGAGATGAATATAAAACTCTATTGCATTGTCAATTCTGGGCAACTGATGGGGAGCCTCGAGACGTTTATGGGATGACTGATGATATTGAGAAACTGGGTTTTTCCTCAGGTCGGATCAACCAAAAGTTAGGTTGCTGCCTTTGGTTGTCTTTCTTATAAAAGTTTGTTCGAATACTTATTTGTCATGTTTTAGTCTGATTGGTTCGGATTCAGATCGATCAATCATCCATTTATCCTTCTCTTAACTCAATTGAACTTTGACATTGACTTGGAGGGCTACATCAAATCGCATAAGCAAGCCTCTTAGTTTTCTGTCAGTTGAACCTCTTCTATTGTACTTCTTTTCTTTTGAACTATTAGATATCCCCTAGATAAGCCCTCTCACAATTTCGATGCACATTAATCTCTATTTTATTTACATATATTTTTATTGACAAGGTTTATTAAATCTACTTAAACTATAAGTTTACAATTTACAAATTATTATTTTTTATCAAGAGAAACAAACGGCAGCAAACCTATAGAAACCAATAATACTAGCCCAAAACAAAATCGCGAGAGGTTTCCCCTCCACAGTAGAAACACCACTTCTGTGGAGTTGTGTGAGAGAAGCATGTCTTCTCAATCTTGTTTTCTCCTCGTTTCCAGCCCCAAACTCTCTCGGCGCCTTCGCTGGCCGAAAAACAAAGACCAGCATTCATTTCCTGTCGGGCGGATTCGTAGTCCGCAGAAGTGCAGGAGCAGCCGGCTGGATTCTCGCCGAACAGTAATGGTCAGCGCTGGCGCCGGTGCGCCAATGATGGATAGAGAGATAGACCGGTTCTCTTCGGTGGCAAACAAGATGGCGGACGCTGCTGGAGAGGTCATCCGGAAGCACTTCCGCCAAAACTTCGCAATCTTTGACAAGGACGATCTTAGTGAGTACTGCCATGGCCAACGACCTTAGGGTTCAGGGTTCTGGGAGAATGAAGGGATAAAAATGTTTTTTTTTTTTTTTTTGCTTGCAGGTCCTGTGACTATCGCCGACAGGGATGCGGAGGAGTCGATGTGCTCGATTATAATGAAGAATTTTCCATCTCATGCGATGTAAGCTGCTTTTTCTTTTCCTTAAAAAGAGTGTAGGATTCCGTTTTTTTTTTTTTTTCGAAGTGACATTGTGTCAGTTTTGGGGAGGAGAATGGCTGGAGATGCAAGGAGAATTATGCTGATTATGTTTGGGTTTTGGATCCTATTGATGGCACCAAGAGCTTCATTACTGGTATGTTGACTGCGAATATGAGGCCTCAAAAGTATGGCAATGTTGGTGGTGAAAAGCAATGTTTGAAATGGTGTCTCTCTCTGCAGGAAAACCTCTATTTGGCACTCTTATTGCTCTTCTCTACAAGGGGAAACCGGTGAGGCTCGCTAAGTTAGCTTGTTTAAATTTGTCCTTCTCAAGAAATTGCTAATTGAAATTTAATTTCTAGATTTCAGATTGATATTTTGTACCATAGCTGTTGCTAATTTCAATAATTATGAATTTAGAAAGAAAGAAAAACTTTGGTGTTGAAAAGTGGGGCTATCCTCATTGTCCTGCCTAGATAGTTGTTCTTTTTATTGAAGGGTTTCTTCAAGTCATTAAAAAGTTTGTTTTTGGCTTGAGAACTAATTTAGGTTAGACCTTAACAATTACTTTCTGGACCAATCATTTAATCTGAAATTGTATCTTTAATATAATTGTTTCAACCGGCCTTCGCGGGCCTAGAGTAATACCGCAGTGGTAATCCTGTGAGTTGATAAATCTAAACTAATCCAATAAATATAATGATAATAATCCATCAAAAATAAAATATTAGGTGATCTAAAATGAGTAACATCTACTAATTTATTTGCTAAATTGTATGGAACCTAACTTTTGCTATAACTCTATAAGGAAATGAATTGTTATTATATCAATTAAATAACATACAATCTTAATCACCTTCTCTTAATAGCTAAAGCATGAGTTTAGAAACTCTTGTTTTAATGATTGACAAATAAAAATCTAAAATCATAAAAATTAATAGGTGATTTGGTAAGAAACAAGCTTGAAGTCAGTAGATGAAATCTAGTGGCTAATGTATGATGAAAAAATATAAGGCATAAATATATTCAATTAAAAAGTAATTATTTATGTTTGATGTTATATTGTAAAACTTATAAAATTACAAGGGGAGATTATTAGGTATAAAAACAGTTCAATGGTCCTCACAATGTAACATAGTTCATAAGAAGTCATGCATAATAGCAATTATTGCCTTCAAATATTAGAACATTAACTTGCATACGTGTTATATTTATGCACTAATAAATTACTCATTTACTAACTATACCTTTTGTATTAATATATAAGTATGTTCAATTCACCAATATATCTAAACAAAGGAAGATTTTCACCCACCTAGTAGTCCAATGACCTTTAAAAGTGTCATCACTCTATGGATCCATCCCTCTTGTTGGTCGTCAATCATATCAACAAAAGAGTACTATGAACATTTACATCCTTCATGCGTGCAAGCATATACTATATAAATATTATGCCATGAGAAAGATTAACAAGGACTGTAATCTCTATAATTAACATCTATTACATATAAGATGAGTCTATGATTTTTATGAGCAGTATTTATTTCACACCAAATAATGCGTAAAAACATCACAAGAGTTTATTCAACAAGTAGCTTGAAAAATTTAATTATGAGTCTCATCAAATTAATATGAACACATGAAAAATTATAAATGAGTAAAACATATTCTATAATATATATTAACAATTAAATGAAGCTTAAAACTAGTGCTAAGAAAAGCTTCCTATATAGGAGAGGGAACGTTATCTCTTAAAAGATAAAGTGTTAACTACTTGAATTATGCCATAGATGGTCTAGGAAGAAAATGATGATGATAGTTGGTGTAATAAGAAGAGTGAGATGTCAAATATTCTTTCCATATTCACCTTGTCCAGCTTATCTTGATTGACCCCACTGTAGCCATAACTGATCCTGCCAACCAATGAATTAAGAGCTCTTCTTCTCATTCCTATTACTAGCATATTGTGTGACCAGAAATCGTTTTAGATTGTCGCCTCATTCCATCTCAATTGCTATTAATTGTGCATTCTTCTCTCTTACCTCATCATCGTTTTAGATTGTCGCCTCATAAGGCTTGTAAGCTGTCTTTGATCAGTTCCGTATGGCAATGGGAAGTAGTGGATTGAATTGGGTTTGCATGATCGATTCAATCCAACAGACCATATGAAGGTTTGTATTCAACTTAAAAGATTATCCTCGTCATATTTCTAATCAACCACATGTAATTATATGCAATAGACCTTTTATATATGCTTAGCATCTATGATATATATTTCTCCAAGACATTGGCACAATTTTTTTAAATTTAAATTCATGCGTTACATGGATCTTTTGAATGGGAGAATCCCCTCACACCTAACTGTAAAAATGTGTATGCTAACTTATGTGTCCAATGCTCATTATTTTTACATTTCAGACATGACATCAATACTATATTACATTAGATTTATCACACCTAACAAATATGAACCGAGGCTTATTCAAAGTGAAATTTCAGGCATGACATCAATTCTATATTGCATGAGATTCATCACACCTAACAAATATCAACTGAGGCTTATTCAAAATGAACTTCTACCATGCAAATGTATCCACTCATACACCACTTGCTAGAGAAGTGATGGTCTTCTTAACTCTCGCAGAGACAAAAATCAGAATTATCAAAATGAACAATCTCATTCATCTCATTCATCTCATTCATCGAGCAGTTATAACAAATTTGGTATCACAAGGTGGAAAGCACTATGTCACATCACACACTCCCTAAAGTAAAATAATGCCCTAGAAGCAAACCCTAGACACTTAAGATCAATCAATACAACCAATCATTGCAATTTTGAGACACAATGCCTCTTTGATACAACGTATTCAATAATTATATATAATAAATATATGAGAACAACACAAACTAATGTAATTTTTCAACCTATAAATCCTCAACAACATTAAGGCACGTAATGTAAGAATCGAAAAATTACAACAACAACAACAACAACAAAGCCTTAATCCCACTACGTGGGGTCGGCTACATGAATCCTTTTTCTCCATTGCGTCCTATTTAGTGTCATATTTTCATTTAGTTCTAGTAAATTAAGATCATTTTTAATACAATAAGCCCAAGTCTTCCTAGGTCTACCTCTGCCTTTCTTAACACAAGTCAAATTTAAAACATCTACTCTCCTAATCGGATCATCAGATGGTCGACGTTTAATGTGACCAAACCATCTAAGACGACTTTCTCTAATTTTGGCCGTCACAGGAGCTACACCAACCCTATCACGAATATATTCATTCCGCATTTTGTCTCTAAGTGTAAAGCCACTCATCCACCTAATCATTCTCATCTCGGCAACACTTAACTTATTATTATGCTTCTCTTTTAAAGGCCAACATT